CCCTGGTATCATGACCCGAGCCGAAGGCAGACGCTTAACGATTGAGCCACGCAGGCGCCCCAAAACAATGTATTTCATACTCTGTTTTCTTTATAAATCAAATGCATAGTCACTGATAGCATTTTTTAAGATTCAAGATGGATTTCAGGTGAGCGTATTTTCTTTAGCAGTCTTACTTTTGGGACCATGTGGTCACAACTGAGGTCCTCAGTCCTCAACTGCTCTCAGTGGAGAGCACCTCCACTGTCTTTGGAGAAGTGACAACACCTCTTGAAAATGGCAGAAACACGTCCAAACAGGTAAGGTGAGGACAGTAAGCATTCCCCTTAAGTTTCTGATGGAACATTAGATACAGGAACTCTGTATGGACATAGAGGCTCCTTGAAAAAAAAAATAGAGGTTGTTTTTGGTTTTGGTTTTGGTTTTGGTCATTAAAAAGGTGCAAGGATTTTGGAGATCTCCTAGTACCTGGCCACTCTGATTCTACCGGTGATCTCCGGTTTAGTTATGTTGTCCCCAGTGTTGATCCCAGCTTTCAGCAAAAATGCCACACGAAAGGCTCTGCTTCACAGAAACAGAACTGCTACTTCTGGTTTTCCAGGCTGTTCTCAGACTAGTTCTGCTTTCATTACCTAAAATAGCAGAGATGTTTCCAGAGCTCAGAGACATGGCACCTTCTGCACAGGATGCCTTTGACACCACAAGCGTACTCTGTCCTTTAAACTACAAAGGCAAACTGTAAGGCATGGCTAGGTTTAGCTGAGCTACATTCCATCAGAGACCTTTCTATTTCTTAGTGGAATATTCCTGGGGAAGATAAGCCCGCCTCTGTTAATGCTTGCTGAGGCCCAGCATCTCTGTCCCCTTTTCCTCACCCTGATGCTGCCTGACCAAATAAAAGGAAGCTCCGAATTAATTTTCCCTTTTAAGTGGGTTCCAACGTAACTTTGTGCAGCTCATGGTCTTCGAGAAACAAGCTTCCTTGTGAAACTGGGTTGAGAAAAGCATTGTTTTAATTAGTACATCTACAGACAAAGCTCTGGTGACAAAGCATACACCACATGTCCAGAGCAGTGCTTGCTTTAATAAGAGTCAAAAGAAAGGAAGATCCCCAAGAATACAGAATGAAAGAATGCTACTAGGAAAGTCGGGCTCCCTGGGATCCTTCTTCCCTAAGATATGTGCTCTTCTCACCGATTCATCCATCAAAAAGAATGCCCCGAGCAGTGACCGACACGTGGGAACACCATTCCTGCCCCTGTGCTTCAAACCCAGGTAGGAAACCAAGACTCGCTCTGCGCTACAACAAACCAGTCAGGAAGACATTCTGCTAGCTTCAGAACGTGGTGGTGGGTTAAGGAGAGCCACCAACTTAAATTTAAAGCCCCTGGGTCTGAACCCCACCCAGGCTGGTGGGGGAGGAGGTGTGGACCTGTTTCCTGCCCTTAAAGTGAAGTGACTGTCCTGGTAAAATAATCTCCAAGGTCTCTTCATTTTTACAAAATCACATTTATTTGAACACTTCTCACAGCTGTTGATCAGACACTATTGTGCCCGAGACAGCCTCCCTCTTCAGCCCGGGCCAGGGTGGTCGTCTCTCTCAGCCTCTGCTCCTTGGGGAAACAAAGGTTCTTCAGCCCCTTCCATCTTGCCTCCAGCCAGATTTGGTCCAAGCCATCTCTCCTCCCAGTCCCCTGAACTGGCTACTCCTAGACCGTGGGATTCAGTGACCAGCAATTACTTCAATAAACCCCTTCGCAGCCCAGCCCACGTCCCAGTGACTCTTTCTCCCTCTTGGCTTCACTTCCTCCCCCATTCAGCCCAGACTGCAGGGCACATATGTCAACCACTCTCTTGCCAGCACCCCGGAGTCCTCGCTCTCTGTCCTTCTGCCACATCCACCTGGTAGTTCCCCAATGTTGGATCAGTCTAGCCATCCCAACCATCTGTCTTCTCTACTCCTACACCCAGGCTGTCAAGATGGCTGCAGGAAAACATGCCCTCAAGTGAACTGGGGCCACTGCTCA